AATATTTATTTAAAAACTAAATATTTAATTTGGAGCTAAATATTTATTTAAAAACTAAATATTTAATTTGGAGCTAACTATTTATTTAACGAACTCAATATTTAAAATATTCAGCTCCGAACTAAATATTTATTTAACAAGGTCAGATTTTTATAAATTATTGAATGACACAGTGAAAAAATAAGCTTCTTATTTTTCTCTTAAAACACGCTAACAAAGTTACGCTTTGACTGCGTAACTTTGGGGCCCCATACAAAAACCGTTTGTTTGTTTTTTTTAAGTGTGGTTAAGTTTATTCATGTTTATTTTTTTTCTTTGTACATTTCCCCCCCAGCTTTCTCCATTTCTTTTTGAGATTATTAGAATTGGAGTGACCATTGGATTTCTCCAATGTGAGATTGATAAAGTTCATTCATTCATTAAGATTGAGAAATATTCTCTAAATAGTGACAATAGTGGCCTCTAGTGGATTTTACAAACATCGCTACAGGTGATTTATGCCGCTTGGAGAACTATTCTGTTATAAACAACCTTTTATTTGTGTTAATCATAACCTATATGCAAACCGAATAATGTGAAACATTAGTTTATAGTAGTAGTAATGTAGGAAACGTTTCCTGTGTTTGGGGTTTGGTGTGATCCACCTGGAGCAGCCCTGCCCAGAGAGCAGCTCAGAAATCTCTTCCCTGAGGGATTTTCCGCCTTCTCCACCGACACAAACACCTCCCTGCGTGGACGGCTCGTGATATGAAGAAAAAAAACTTTTCCATCACAAGCAAACAGCCACTGCTAGTTTCTTTTACAGGAGAGATTATTAACTGCGGCAGCCATGGGAGAAATCACAGCTCCAAAGAACTTCTCACAAGTTATAACTGAGATCTTACAGGAAGCGCCAGCTGCCAGGAAAGATCTGGTTGATAACCACAGCAACCTTCTCCAAGTGGCAGATTACTGCGAAAATAACTATCTCCAGGTGAGTAGATCACCATTATGATCATTTATGGAGCCATGATTAGAGTTTTTTACTGTAAATTGATGGGTTAATTTTAAAGGCAGATGATCCAACCAAAGCTGTGGAGGAGACCAAGGCTCTGACCACCCAGGCTTTGGCCAGCGTCAGCTACCAGATCAACAGCGTGGCCAGCACCCTGCTCAGGCTGCTGGACTCCCAGGCCATGCAGATCAAAGATATGGAGTCATCTGTCAACCTGCTGTCACTGGTCAGAGCGCCCTCCACACACACACACACACACACACACACACACACACACACACACAGCTTTGTTTTCATGATATATGGGGACATTTCATTGACTTGCATTCATTTAGTATGGCCTAACCCAGACCCTTACCCTTACCCTAACTATTACCAAGATGTACCTAATGCTCAGTGTTGGGGAGTAACGGATTACATGTAACGACGTTACGTAATTTAATTACAAAAAAGTAACTGTAATTTGTTACAGTTACAATGAGAAAATATGGAATTCAGTTACAGTTACTTTTGAAAATATTAAGAATTACAAATTTAGTTACATTTTTTAAAAAATATAAAGAAAAACCTTTGCGAAATATGTAATGATATTTTATTGCTTCGCGCCCTGTATCGCCGTTTCCCGCTACGGCTCCTTGTCTCTATCATTTTTGCTACTCTGATGATCCATCCTGTGCTGGTGGAGCCTCCTTGAGGAACAGCAAGCGAGCGGACGGTTCTATTTCAGCTCAAGCAGCGCATCAAACAGTGATGGGCAGTAGCGCCGCTACATGTAGCGAAGCTATTAGTTTAACTACATCTTCCAGTAGCTTGACCGTAGCGTCGCTGCTTTATTTATCAAGTAACTTTCCTGTAGTGACGTTATTGCTTTGATCAAGTAGCGACGTAGCGTCCAGAAACGCTACAAAATCCAGGGCATAACTAAGAAATTAAACCAGGTTTTCTATTTTGAAACAAGAGAGTTATTTGTTGGACATTCCCGCGTGAGCCTCTATTCTGCCTCTTCTGTGTGTATCTCCCAAAACATGCACATGGCAGTGGAACTCAAAGAATGGCACACACAGACACACACATGTTGTGTTACAATATCCTTGTGAGGACCTTCCATTGACTTCCATTCATTTACCACTAATTTATATGGCCTAACAATGACCCTTGCCCTAACCCTAACCATTACCGACACATACCTATCCCTAAACCTAACCTAAACTCAATTCACACCTTAGTCCTAAACCTAACCCCCACCCCAAGAAGAGAATCTTTCCTTATGGGGACCAGTTGTTGGTCCCCACAAGTACCTATGAGTCCCCAAAATGTAGCATATTCCTATAAAATTGTCCCCACCAGGTATTAAAGACATGGCAACACATTACACACACATATACACACACACAGCTTTGTTTTCATGATATATGGGGACATTTCATTGACTTGCATTCATTTAGTATGGCCAAACCCAGACCCTTACCCTTAGGGTAAGGGTACCAAGATGTACCTAATGCTAACCTAAACTGAATTCACACCTTAGTCCTAAACCTAACCCAATTCAAAGAACAGAACTTTACCATATAGGGACCAGTTGACTGTCCCCGTAAGTCCTCGCATGTAGGATATTTTACAAAATACTTCCCTCACATTGTAGGGAAAACAAGACCACACACACACACACATACTCGACGTACTCGTCGTAGTGAGGATCATGTGTAGAAAGGATTGAAAATAACTGAAAATCAATGGAAGTCAATGGGAGTCCTTCCATCCCAACAGCACAATGATTTCAGCGCAGCCACCAGCGCAGCGATCAGACGATAACTGATCTGTACAATGAAAATACCTGCATGAGCTGCTGTTGAAAGCAACAACATCTATAGAATAATGACCATGATCTGCCCTATTTACTACAGGGCAAATATAATTCAAGCCATCTCTTCTCTCTCCTCCACTGCAGACATGCAGACAGCATCGTGAAAGTGCAGGAAAGTTGGTAATATATTCACAGATTCGGCTTTTCCGGATTAATGAGTCGTCGGCGGATGATTTATTCTACAAAACAGACACCAGAGCAAGGCAGACACTGAGCTACAACCGTAGTTTCCTAAAAACTAGTCTCCTATCGCGCCGGGAGAATTACATTGGACCCTATGCAGAGCTTGCTGCTCCGCAAAACTTTGAGACTGTCTGCAAGTTGCAAAAAAATCAGAGGGAAATATTCAAAGCGTCACCAAGGAGAGGTGGATTATTATCACATGTTTTGGATTCGAAAATAATACTTTTCTGAGGAATTTCCAAAAGCCTAAATGACAAATGGCACCTCTATTCTATTATTAGAATAAGAGCAATGACTGCACTATAGATCACTGTACTGCCTCCAAACTTGTAGGATAAACAGATAAGTTCATCTGGATCAAACTACAACTCTTACTTTGGGAAGATAGGCCAAACTTTATTTATGGAGATTTTTTCTTTTTTATTTTAAGCATATAATCGCCAATAATTATGCATCATTGTAGTGCCTCCAAACATAGATAACCTCATCTAGTTCACACTACAACTCTTACGTTGGGAAAATGTGGTAAACTTTTATTTTTTATTTTAGATTTTTCATTGTTATTATAAGCATATAAAAGCCAATAATTACTTATGACTTAGACAGATTTATTTTGTCATTTTGTATATACAAGTGTAAGCAAAAGGAAATTTTGTTTAGAAAAGCTCTAGACAAATTTATATTTTAAAGTTCAGCCTTGAAAACAGTAATAAATACATGAAAAGAAATAGTTATATAAACATATGACTATATTTACAGCTCTAACGTTCTTTATTTTTCTTACTTTGGGAAGATAGGCCAAACTGATATTATTATAAGCATATAATATCCAATAATTACACTATAGATCATTGTACTGCCACCAAACCTGTAGCACACATAGATAACCTCATCTAGTTCATACTACAAATCTTACATTGGGAATATGTGCTTAACTCTATTTTTTAGATTTCTTCGTTGTTATTATAAGCAGGCCAGGTGTGCAATCTCTGCAGCAGGAACCACAGCACTGAGCGTTGTGTGCACGGCACAAAGTATTCCTGTCGCAAATGCAGGAAGGACTCACCTTGGGTTTGTGAAAACTGCTAAATGAGACAATTGTAGCTTCATATGTAGAGCTTTTCCTTGGGTGAAATAAGTGTTACTGCTATACTGAAATCATATTGTTTGTCATTCTCTAAGCTGAAATGTTGAATGAAGTTAAATAAGACAATACTCGTGTATCGGTCACATCATTAAATCATACACAGTGTCTCAGAGCTCTGGCATAATTACATGAAGGAAAAATGTCAGAAAATGTCTTCTCCTGAAAATTTGAGCGAGTGTGGAGCGATTTTGCCGGAGCGGCACTTCTTCCCACCTCTTTGCCTCTGAAAACAGTCAGAGACCTCCACCCTATCTGAAGGTGCCAGGGTGCAATGTCTTCATTTATTGCTCCATGGTAAAAATCGCTAGAAAAACAGGCACTTTGTCACACATTTACCATAAGCAAAGGGGAGCAGGAAGAACATAAAATCTTGTTTTGTCTGACCCGACCAAAAAACTTCATAACCTTTGCAAAGCTAATTTCAGCCAAAAAAAAAAGCAA